TGAAATATTCAACTATGGAAACAGACACATATCCAAAAAACAGAATTTTGAATGAACCATAAAGGTTGAAACTTTACTTTAGCATCAAACATCCACAAACTATGAAAACAGACACAGACCCACAAACCAGAATTCTGAATAAACCATAAAGATTAAAACTTTAACATGAAACATCCAAAAACTATGTAACCAAACACAGAACCCCAAACCAGAATTCTGATTCAACATAAAGATTGAAACTTTACTGTCAAACATCCAATAACTATGAAAACAGACACAGACCTACAAACCAGAATTCTGATAAACCCATAAAGATTGAATCTTTAATATGAAACATCAAAAAATATATCAATATGTAAGAAATTAAGAGGTCAAATTTACCAAAAAGATGAAGGCCCAGATTGAGAAAAAAAAGGATTGAAATTCAAGATCTGCTAGAGAGGCATAAAGCAAAAGGGTAGAGGGCTAAAATGCCCTCTTTATCTTTTTCCTCTCTATTATTTTTTGCTTCTTCCTAAGATTTTTCAGTTTTGGTCTCAAATTGTTGGAGTTTTTATCAATGGAAAAAGATGAAGGTAAGAGAAAAAAAGAGTGTTGTATTAAAAAAAACTGATTCACAATATGAAATGGCTAAAATTTATATTATATATTATATGTATATATATACCATATACAATTTGCATATAAATTATAACCAATTACTATATTATATATAATCTATTTAAAGCAAATTATATTATACTTTGTTATCCTCTTGGTGAGAAATGTTGGAGCTGATAAGAGGGTGGACGATAGAGACTTTTGATTTCCCTTTATTTTGTAGTACTATTATTTGAACAAATAAATAGTTTATCGTCGAAAATATATTTGTATTATGAGCGAGTTTTATATTTTAGTAATGTATTTTTTAAAAAAAGAATTATTTTTTGTATTGAAATATATTTCAATCGTAATATTACGTATATATATATGTGTGTATGTGTGTTTGATGACTTAAATACAAAAGAATAATCTAAATAACTTTTTTATTATTATCTCTAAAAGAAACTTTAAAATATCAAAATTTCGTGAATTCGACTAGAAATTAAAATAACTAAACGAATAAATTGTTTTACTTGCGGAATAAAACTTTTTGATTAATTCATAATAGTTGGATTTCAAATATATTATTTTTATTATGTGACCCTTTGTTATTAACCATGTGGAAGTATTGCCTTCATTTTATTTCATTTTTTTACCCACTGATTCTCAATTTTTTTCAATATGTCTCTTTTTATTTTATTCCCTTTTCCTTTTATGTTATTAGTTCCAAATAAAAACGAATAATCAAACATGCATATAAATGTGATGCAAAATAGTTAGTCGAATCTAAAATGAATGATAAAAGTTTTGGTTTGCTGTGATAGCTTTTGTCTGATATATTTTTAGCAAATTTGATGGTATTATTTTAAGATATAATCGATTTTGATTTTAAAATGGTAATATCGAGCTGATCACATATTGTATGTGATTTAATTTTGAAATAAAAATAGATTCAAATTCAGAAATATGACCTAAATACATAACTAATTTTACTATATTCTCTAAAATTCTCTACTAATTGAAAAAATTACAAAAAAATCTATTTTATGTGATGTTTCAGTCGGATACATCACTTTATGTGATGTATTGAGACACACACAATGTATCAAAACATTACTTTACAGGATGTATTGGTCGGATACATCATGTCATATGATGTATCGGGACGTATACGATGTATCTAGATGTTGAGTGATGTATATGAAACTAAGATGTGATGTATCATGATATGGAGGGATGCATGCATAATCTTGATGCGATGTATCGAGACGTTTTGGTATATATTTAGGTTTCATCAAATTTAAGTGATTTTTGTAATTTAAAAATAGTAAGGATAGATGTAATTAGCTTTAAACACTATGAGATTTGTGTAAAATCACAAATTAACCAATTTATTTATAATAATCTAATGTTTGCTAATCTAATTCTTGTTATATTCTACTCTCTCTTATCCTAATTTCTAGTTCACTTTTAAATTGACACACATATTAAGAAAACAATTGTTGATATAGTGAATTTACCATTTTATCCTATTAATTATGAAGTGCGTGAATTAAAACTTTGAGATTTTTGAAAAGTTTAACGTTTTACGTACGAAGTAATTAATTAAGGGTATAATCAATAAATTAACCAATGTATTTATAATAATCTAATGTTTGCTAATCTAATTCTTGTTATATTCTACTCTCTCTTCCTAATTACTAGTTCACTTTTGAATTAAAACACATATTAAGAAAATAATTGTTGACATAGTGAGCTTACCATTTTATCCTACTAATTATGAAGTGCGTGAATTAAAATTTTGAGATTTTTCAAAAGTTTGACGTTTTACATACGAAGTAATTAATTGAGGGTATAATCTGTAAAAAAAAATTATCCTTTCTTGATTTAGCAAAATAAACAAGTAATTAGGGACAACTAAAAAAAGAAAAATAAACAAATAATTAAGGATGAAGAAAGTAATTTCCAAAAAATGTTATCGAATTTATCATGTATTGTCATTTTTTACTGATTTAGGACATACCATATCGTCGTTTCGAAATTGGATTGCCTAACTTTTATATAAATTAAATCGTGATTCATTAAATTATATCAAATAATATTTCTTTTCATATTCAATAAATTATTTAAATAATTACAAAATTAATAATGGATAAATAATTATTAAGTCAAACCAAATCAACCAATGGTTGAATAACAATTTAATATGTATAAAAATTAATAATAACTAACAAATCAAATCATTTAAATATAAAAATCAAATTAAACCATCCGATAAATTGATTTGACCAACAACAAAAAAGTTGAATTCAAACACATTCAAGTTCCATGCTTCTTCTTTTTCACCCCCATATATTGTCTAGAAGTATTTAAAGGTTTATTATTTTATTATTTTTTTTAAAAAAAAAGAAAGATAAATTTAGGTAATTAATAGCAATAATTAAAATGAGAATCAAATTAATTTAATTTATCATTCAAAAGTATTTGTGGCTTAGTTTTCTTCATGTGGAGGAAAGGGATGAACCCCAACTCAAACATTGGACGGTGGCACCCTGTCACATCCTCTAATAATAATATAATAATAATAATAATTTAATTTAATTTTTTTTTCTTTTTGGCCCACAAAAGAATAGAACATTTAATTGATTAAGACTTGATTAATTTAAACAAAATACCAAAAGGATATAAATTTAATATAATCACATGGATGAGGCAAACAACAAGAGAAAGGGATTGATGAGTAAAGATACTTCTAACAACTATGTTTCAATCCTTCGATAAATTGAAGTTTAAATTTATTTATATAATTACTCAGTCTCAAATCGAATAAAAAAAATCAAAAAGTAAATAAATCATCACATTAACAAAAAAGACTATTTTACAACTAAATTTATCGTTTTAGATGTAAAAAACTATTTCTCAAAGACGAATCTATTATATTAGACATGTGTTTGGACTTTGAATGAACAATAGCTTTTGATTTTTTATTTTTTTTAATATTTGTAAATATTTAATTATAAATTCAATAACTACAACACATTATATGTTTGGTGACAAATCTATAAACTATCATAAAATATTGGAATATATATTTTAAACTAACTAATTAACAAGTCACTTTCGAACAGTTCAAATAGCAAAATATGAGTATTTGGTTGTTACTTTTGCAACATCACAACTCCACAACTATTTTAGGATTTCAATTTAACAAACCTCCTAAAGTTTATGATGTTTTTCTCGTATCATTAGGTACCTACTCAGAAATTTCGAATTTGAGGTTTAAAAGTTTAAAATTATTTTGCAATAATATGACTCCCTTTAATGAATTCTACGTGATGCAAATTTGACTTAAATGTTATTTTAAAGTAAGTAGATATCGGACGAGAAATTAAAATATATAATTCTTCACTCACACTCGAAACCTCTAGTCAAAATGTCAAGACATAGAACTAACGTACATACATACCTATGTTGCTAGGCTCTTCCAAGTGAAAATGTTTAGACATAGCACTAATATACATACATACCTATGTTGCTAAGCTCTTCAAAAATGTTAGACATGTTTACGTATCAGATTTTCCAAAAGTAACACATTTTGAAGGATCATATTTGACAAGTTCGAGCAACGTAGCCTTCAACTATGTTCAAGATAAATGACAAATAAAGAGAACATGTAAATAAAAACAAATAACAATAAGATATAGAATCCTTCCAAAATACCACATTTTTGAAGGACCAAACACAGGTACGACAACATATTTGCGAAGTTCGAACAACATAGCCTTCTACTATGCTCAAGATAAATGACATACAAAAAGAACATATAAATAGAAACAAGAACAATAAGATATAGAATCCTTCCAAAGTACCACATCTTTGAAGGACCCAACACAGGACAACAACATATTTGCGAAGTTCGAGCAAAGTAGCTTTAACTATGCTTAAGATAAATGACAAACAAAGGGAACATATAAACAAAAACAAGAACAATAAGATACAGAATCCTTCCAAAGTACCACATCTTTGAAGGACCCGACACAGGTACAACAACATATTTGCGAAGTTCGAACAAAGTAGCCTTCAACTATGCTCAGGACAAGTGACAAACAAAGAGATCATATAAGCAAAAACAGAAAACAATCAGATAGAAACTTTAGAGCATGCCCAAAACAGATTTATCATTACAAAGTTGGAAAAGCAGAATATATACAAGTTCAACAAAAGTTCCAAATTCTGGTTAAGTTTACTTATGTTGTGTAGGCTCTTCAAGAATGTTGATAGGTGTGTGCCGAGTCCTCCAAAAGTATTGCAGTTACGAAAGCCTCGACACATGTGTGACAACATTTTTGGAGAGTTGGAGCAATATAGCTTTCAACTACGATCGGGACAAATGAAATCAAAGAGAACCATGTAAAAACTAAAAGAACAACACAAGATAGAAACTTTATGCCCAAAACAGATTTATCATTACAAGTTGGCACAACAAACTAAACTTCTGGTTAAGTAAGCTGGTAAGTTTGGTTCATTACAACAGAATTCTCAATTTCATGTTTGATTAACAGATACCAGCTGAGTTGATGGTGTCTACTATAGATCTTAACTACCTATGCTAACTCCTATAAGCTCGAGATTTCAGAGACTTACCTCTCTATAACAAGAAAAAAGTTTCAAAGAAACGGTCTCGGCTCTTCTGTTCTTCCAAATGCTAATATCAAGATCCCAAAGGCAGCGAATGAGGTAATTGCCAAGCAGAAGAAGTTGCTAAAGCTCTGTTGTTCCATCCAATATAAAGCGCCCCCTGGCTTTCAGCAAGCTTATAATTTGAGCTATACTCCTTCAACATGACCTTAATGGCCTCAGCAACCGATGGACTCAGCGGGCATGGAGTAAATCCAGCCATCAAAAGTCTTGACCTCCACTTGCCAAAAACTTCATGCCTTTCCACTCTATCAGCCCCTTCACATGCTATGAGATTGACAACATCCCGTGCAATACAATGCTCCTCTGATCTGATCCGTTGCATGTCATTCCTCGGGCGAGTTACATCGACTGATTCGAATATTGCTTTGTGGTAATCTAGAGTTTCACGGAACCTTGGAAGGAAAGGGGCGGTATTGGTGTTCATTTCTTGTTCAACTAAGGCCACGATTTTGGGAGACAAGCTCTTGACTAGTCTTAATAGGCGGTCCCGATGGTTCATAGTGCTTACGCTCTCGTCTGGCATGTGGTGCAACATGTAAGGGAAGTTAACTGCCAGGCTTTCTCCATGTCTAACTCTTAGGTTCTCTAGTTTGACCATACAGCCTGACAATGCAGCAGTATGGAATTCGAAAGGCACTCCGCAGGACTTGGCAATGCTCGCTAACCTTTCGCCAACTAGCTGAAGTCCACCACCGCGTGCATGAGCTGATTGGGAATCATCAATGCCTGTGATGCGAAGAAATGGCGGACCACCAGGCCGACGAGCCAGATAGTGGATGAGGAACACCCATTGACTTCCCTGTGCAATTTGAAAATCAATGATATGGATTCTATTCTCATTCTTCATGGCTTCGCTTATGACAACATTGGCGGACATATAAGCGAACTTGAAGTAAGGGGTGATGTGATACAGGACTTGCATGTAGGACAACAATTCTGAGCTAGTTGGTTCATTGCACTTCAGTTTTTTGTATATGTTACTCCCGGAGGACAATAATCGTGCTCTTAGACCTTCCAACATGTATGCACTCAGTCGTTGCATAGGTTCCCCATAAACCGATACCCTTTTCTCCAAAGCATCCATCAGAACTTCTGCAGTCGAGGTATCAGCTTCATCTACTGCTTCAGCACAGGCAACAAGCAACTCTTTCAAGTCCAATCTTGAGGCTACGTCCAATACTTGATTCCGCCTTGTCAAGGAAAAATGTTTTGAGACTACACCATTTAATGAGCAACTGCAGCTGTCATCAATATCGGATTCAGGCCTTAGCAACTTATTATTCAGTTCCCGCAGCTCATGCTTCTTCCCGTTGCTGTCATCAACTCCTGAACACAAACTTACAGGTGAACCAGCAGTTTTCTCGTAAGAACGACGTTGCTCAAACATGTTCGACTGAGAACATTGAGAAGAGAAAGGACTCCTGTTGGAAGAGACGCTTACGGAAGGATCTCCATCGTAGATGGCACAGTCAGTAGCCGGAAATGTGTCCACAGTGAAGAACTTCTCATTCTCTGTCGTTAAAGAAACCTGTGCCTGGGAGTTGCTACCATCATTATAATTGCTGTTGTCAGAAGCACGGCAAGGGGTGTAGTTTTGCTGAACTTGCTGCATTGGCTTATTGTACAATTTATGTACACTACACGACCTTTGAGGTCCCTGAGATGCTTGCATCTGACAATAAGTAACTCACTCACTGTGAGCTGTGCCAAAGGAAGACACTGATCAGCAAATTTCTACACTAAAACTACTCACGACATCTCAAAAACCAAAGGTTCTTTCAGAAGAGAATAGACTGCTGAATCTGAAGCACTTGAGCTAGAACGGATATCTCCAGTACACTGCCGAAGCAAATGTTAGAGCCAGCAAAATCTGCCAAAAAGTAAAACATGATCAGTATTCTTAGTGAGACTGAACTTTTAAAACGAATACTAAATGTCACAAGAGATTGTCACAATATAACAAAGAAGCTTTCCTTTTACAGCCAAAATGCAAATTTGATCAGTGTCAAAGAAGTTGTGGACGATATTCATGCTCATAAACAAAACAACACAGAATTAGGGAACGTTATGACAAGATTCCACATCATTTTGATGAAAATTACGAAAGGATAGAATCAAAAGAACAATATACCCAAAAAAATTGGAAATATACAAAGTATGATCATTCATCAAGGCCTAAAACATTCGAGAAATGGGAAATGCATATCAGATCAGTAAATCTAACATTTGAAAACGTTGCTACTCTCTCCTTGACCAAGACACATATATAGGAAAGAATTAGGGAAAACGTTAAGGGAGACTAATCAGTGAAGTTGCTATTGCAGTTCTTAATGAGGAACGACGAGTTAATTGAGAATTTGATGTAACTACCTGCACTTAGTAAATGAACAAAGAAAGTCAACAAATGCACCAGAATTGTTGATCGATAACTCCCAAAATGACATCGTAAAAAACACAAAGGCAGTAGCGGATTTACCAAGGGTTTAGAAACTTATCGAAAAATAATAAAAAGAACGCCTCGTTGTTGACTTTTTGAATAAAATGATACCCTTAACATCAAATATCCTTTTATATACTACAAATAGTGGATTACCTTTAAACAAAGAGATAAACCTTCAAATTCAAGCGGAATCACGAAGAATTAGCAAGATAATCGACAAATTTATCAGACCTCGACTTAGGCTAGCACGGCTTGCTATACTCTTTAACCTCCATCTCCCTAACTCAACCTCTTAATTTGTGGGGGAAAAAAAGTCCATCTAAGGCTAGCTTTGAAACTGTAGCTTGTTGTTTTTTTCGTTATACAGTCAATAACAAATTAAATGTAACACGACGAAAAAGAAGTGAGCAGTTTGACTAGGAATAAATCTTCGTGTTTGTTTATCTTCAACCCTTCCACCCCTACCCCACTCCACACATCTTCCCTCGCTTTCCACAACTAACAAGGTCTGCATTGATTTTCCCCTTTCTTTACTATTAAGGTTAAGATTTTTCTGGTTCTAACCCCAACCAGCACCTCAAACCAATTTCTCTACAAAGATAACTCAGATCATTAACTTATAAACATCTCACAGCTCTCAGCAAGCACCCTTAACCAAAGGTTTGGATCGAGCCCTGGGTATGAAGAAAAATCCTAGTAGGGAGCGCTAGCACTTCCCTTTATAATGTGCCTTATGCAGACTAATTTGGGACCCCAATGCATTACCAAGCACGTCTGGATGAAAACAAAAAACTCAGGTCTACTGATTACTTAGCATGTAACATTGAACCTAAGTTAGCGAACAACAGAAGAAAAATAAGAAACATGCAACCTTCATACCTTAGAAATGAATAACAGATGAACAGAAAGGGAAAAACAATAAAGCCGCAGTACAAATGACCAAAGGTCTAGTTCTATAAACGGGAAAATTATACCCCTAAACTTTGCGATGTATAGTGGAGATATCCCTCATTAAAAAATGATACATGTTTTCCCCTTCTACCTTTATTTTATTTTTTGGGTAAACAAAGACCTAAGAGACTACTTCATTTTTTTCCTTAAACCAAGAATAAAACTCCAAGGGAAAAAAAGAGACATAAACTCCATATAAAGAAAGTCTTTTCTTCTTTTCTAAGGTACGCGTTGAAACAGTTGTTTCCTGTTTTTTTTTGTTATTCAGTCAATAACAAATTAAATGGAACACGACGAAAAACAAGTGGAACAGTTTGTTTATCTTCAACCCCCCACCCCCACCCCCAAATTCCGCCACTCGCTTGCCACAACTAACAGGGTCTACATTGAGATTGTTTACTATTAAGATTTTTCACCCAAACCAGCTCGTCAAAAATAAAAAAAAAGAACAAGGGACAATAAAAAAACAGTTTCTCTATAAAGACAACTCAGATGATTAGCTCATAACGATCCCTCGGCCCTCAACAGGAACCCTTAGCCAAAGGGCTCGGATCGAATCCCGAGTACCAAAAAAAAGAATCTGGTAGGCAGTGCAGATACCAAATCCAAATTACTCGTGACCTCAATGCAGTTGCCCCAAACACCAAGCGAAAAAAAATTAGTTCTAACTGATTAATTAGCATGCAAGATTGAACCTAAGTTAGCAAACAACAGAAAGATACAACCTTTTCAACTTAGAAATGGAAAACCAATAGGACCAAAGCTCTAGTTTTAGTTTTTTACAAAACGAAGTGTTTTTTTTCATTTCTCATTATAGCGTTGTTATTACTGTTTTTCTAAGCCAAGGGTCTGTGGAAAAGAACCTCTATATCTTCACAAGGTAAGAGCAAGGTTTGCGTACACTCTACCCTCACCAGACCTCACTTGGGTATGTTGTTGTTGTTAACTAAATAACTCTACTTTAATTCTTCCCTTATTCCAAGAATCAACTAAACTCCAAGGAAGTAAATAGAGACATAGACTCCATATAAAAGAAGTCTTTTCTTCTTTTCTAAGGTAAGCGTTGAAACCATAGTTTGCTCGCTTTTTCATTATACAGTCAATAACAAATTAAATGAAACACGACGAAAAACAAGTGAACAGTTTGACTAGGAATCAATCGCTGTGTTTGGAAAACCAAAAGGACCCCAGTACACAAAACCAAAGGTCTAGTTTTATTTTTCTTAAAAGAAAACAAATACCTGAAAGTTCGATAATAGCCTTATTTTGTTGTTTTTCCTATTCTTTCTCCAGTATATTATGTACTGTTTTTCATTTCGTATTATTTCGTTGTTGTTATTGTTCTTCAAAGCCAAGGGTCTCTCGGAAAAAACCTCTCTAAGGTAGGAATAACATCTGCTTACGCTCTACCCTGTCCGGACCCCACTTGGATATGTTGTTGACTAAAAGTCTTTACTTTAATTCTTTACTTATTCAAGAATCAACTGAACTTAGAAGGAAAAAAAAACAGAAATGTAGACTCCATATTGAAAAATGCAATAACTTTATAAGAACTACTAGACTAACAACACTAGAAACTCAAATCAAACATTAAACAAACCAAAGGTCCATAGAAAATCAAACATTTCTCAGTAGGACCAATTTTCCTACACACCTCAACTAATTCCACGGCATACATGTCACGTCCCACCAACAACAATTATCAAATAACTCTGTCCACCAAATCTAGGACAGATGAAAAGAAATTACAAACCTAAGACCTCACGGTTCTTAACCACTTCATTAATCACTACGTCACACCCTTCGATGCAAAAACCAGAGTTACATAATCCATTAATAATTTTATTTTAATAAAAAAAAACAGAAAAGGGGTAACAAGAAATTAGTTCAGAGATTATGACAAACCTTCAAAACATTACTCAAAAAGATGTTTTTTTCTGGCCTTCTGCTAAACACACATTAAAACAAACCAATAGTCAGCAGTTAATAGAAAAAACTAACACTAATTAATCAAACACTTCTTAATAAGTCTAATCTTCCCAGAAAAACAGAGGATATGACACTCATAAAGAATAAAAACAGAAAATGGCAACAAGAACATACAACAAAAAAAGTGTAGAGATAGAGAAACTGTTTCCGAAAGACATAAGGGCAACAAGAAACATCAGATCAATCAAAAAGATGTTCTTTTAAAAGAATTCAAATGAAAGTTGGAATCTTTTTTGCCTTCTGCTAAACATTCATTAAAACAAACCAGAAATCAACCAATTTGGACTAACTCAGAAAAATCAAACACTTCCCATTAAGACTAATTTTCCAAGAAAACTAGATTACATAAACCCCATTAAACAACATAAACAGAAAAGGGTAACTACAACATCATAAAATTAATTAAAAAAATGTTTTTTTTATAAAAAAATACTAATGAAAGTTGGAAAAAGGGCAACAAGAACATCATAGAATATCAAAAAGATGTTTTTTGAAAAAGAATTCAAATAAAAGTTTGAACTTTTTTGCCTTCTGCTGAACACACATTAAAACAAAACTCAAACACTCACTAATTTTCCAAGAAAACTAGATTATAAAAAAACCAAGAACAAAAACAGAAAAGGGTAACAAAAATATCATAGAATTAATAAAAAAGATTGTGTTTTTTCCCAAAGAAATGAAAATGAAA